TGAACCCTAATATGACCTTCAAGCATGCGTCCACCAAGGTCACCCTATAGCCTGCTGCCTCCAAAACTCCAAGTGAAATGATGTTCATCTTCAATTGTGGAACGAACCTCACTTCATTCAACTCCCGAATCACCCCGTCACTCATCTTAATCCTAATGGTACCAATACCACCAATAGAGCATGCATGTCCATTACCCATGAGCACAACATCCTCTCTTTCCAACTCCTGCAAGCTGGAGAACCAATCCCTCCTAGGGCAAACGTGGTATGAAGCACCCGAATCCAACATCCACTCTGTAGAGTTGGCAACACAAACTGACGGCAGTGCAGACAACGAATAGCCTGAAAAATCCGAATCTGAATTGTTACCACTAGTCTTGACAACATTCACCTCTGAAGCTTGTACAACTTTCCCCTTATTCTTCTCAGCTCGATCTAACTTTGAGCATTCGGCTTTTCAATGTCCATCCTCTTTACAAAAGGCACACTGATTCCTACGAATCCCACGATGTGCACCTCTAGACTGCGACCTCCTGCTTCGGTTTGAACCACGGCCATGAACTACTAATGCATCTCCCGATGCCTTCTCGGAGGACTCATCAACACTCTTCCTCAACTCATAATTCACCAATGCTGAGGTCACCTCCTTGTAACTAACAGTAGTTCTTCCATTAATCATAGTTAGGACAAAAGTACCATAATCATCCTCGGGCAACGAACACAAAAGTAGCATCGCCTTGTCTTCATCCTCAACCATGATATCCACATTGGCCATATCTGAAAGTAGCTTTGTGAAGTTATTAACATGCTCCCTAATGGAAACTCCCCTCTTCATCTTGAACTGGTAAAACCTCTTCTTCAAGTGAAGCCGATTCTCAATGCTCTTAGTAAGATACTTTTCATTGAGTGTTTCCCACATCTTCTTCGCCGACGTCTCGTTCATCACGTCATAAAATCTTCTTCGCCGACGTCTCGTTCATCACATCATAAATAAGATCCGGCGTCAAGCATGACCGAATAACTCCACACGCCCTACTATTCATCTTCTTCCAAACCTTAGCTTCCATCTCGGCAGGTTTCTCTTGTAACTCAAGAGTCTCCTCCAAATTTTGTGCATCCAAGGCGTCCATTTGTATTATTGATGCTCAGACTCTGTATCGCCTTCGAAAGAGACGATCCCGATGTGCTTTGCTTCACCCATATTGTCGATCTAATCTTCAAATAGGAATCCTTCAGCGAATCCTTCAAACAAGCTCCCAAGTCTAACCCGGAGCTCTGATACCACTTGTTGTGCGCAGCGGAAATTTCGGCAGCACCTCCGGTGCGCAAGGTGCACAACAAGAGATTAGATCACAATGAAATTCTCGTTTCTCAAAGGAAACAAGAACCAAAAAGCCAGATATCTCATCAAAGTGAGATATCAGCTCTTCCTCTCGTCAGCTCTAGGACTGCGCGTCGAGGGATCCTACAAGCTATTACAAATCACGGCAAGAACACAAAATTTTACGTGGTTCGGCAAACTGCCTACGTCCACGGGGCAAGGAGGGGGAGATCTACTATTAGAGGGAGAGATACAACTAGGGTTTACAATCACTCAATCTAAACCCTCAAACAAACTCTCAAATCCCTCACACAAAGTCTCTCTCAAAAAGCTCTCCTCTGTCTGCGCTTTCTTTTCACTGTACGAATCCCCAAAAAAGAGTTCTGCCGAAAACAACTCAGGCCAAAAACAACTGTCTTCGCACCTGCACACAGCCGCAGAAAAAACAAGCTCCTGCACACCTCTTTGCTGCTTGCGATTTTCTCCAAAAGCCACCGGAAAAACTCGCACGCACAAAGAAGCCGCCAACGAAAAAGCTTCTGCACCCCTCAATAGCATCCAGTACGCCATGGCAACGGACTCATGACAACGGACTCCATCCACACAAGTCGAGACCCAAACGGGAGTGCGAACACTCAATCCAAACCAAATAGTGTCTACTCACCAATCAAACTGAGCCTACACCGACTACACCAAATGCCTCACTTGCTGAGACCCAAATGTGAGTGCAAACACTCACCCCAAATGTCGATGTCGCGATCAAACCAATACCTCAACTGTTGTATCCAGTACGTCATGGCAACGGACTCATGACAACGGATTCCATCCACAACAGGTCGAGACCCAAACGGGAGTGCGAACACTCAAATCCAAACCAAATAGTGTCTACTCACCAATCAAACTGAGCCTACACCGACTACACCAAATGCCTCACTTGCTGAGACCCAAATGTGAGTGCAAACACTCACCCCAAATGTCGATGTCGCTCACCAAATCGATCTCACCCCCATCAACTAATCCAAACCCGGCTGCATCATAAAGACTGCCTACGTATCCTCTTGCCCAAGGAATCAAGCCGAACGTAGTTCACCTAAATGGCTGCTAACTACCTCAATCCAATAGAAGAGTTTGCAACCCTTCTCCAACATCATGATCAAGTCTGCGGCTGATAGCACCTCCAATGGCCCTAAACTGAAACAATCCAAACACCTCCACCTGAGATGAACCAACGGCCATGTCTACAAATCCAAATGATCCCCAATCTGTGTCACCTCAGCTGGAATCCCAAATGATACAGTATGATCTGGAGTTTCCACCCAACGTGGAGTAGCATCACTCTCCACCCGCTGCGATGTCCTACTGATCTGATCATCACTCTCCACCTGCCGAGAGTCAAACGTGACATACCTGCTCAGAACAAAGTCAGAAGCCAATACCTGATAATCAAACATGCCTCTGAATCCCAAATGTGCTATCGGGTCGAATCTCACATCCACGATGTGACCAAATGCTGGGTAGCCAAACATCCGACGCAACCCAAAAACTGAAGCAGCTCCACCAGATCTAAAATCTCTACATGCAGCAGTCGGCAACCTATGTATGAGATGGACCAAACATGTCGTA